GGGCAGATCACTTGAGGCCAGGAGTTCGAGACCACCCTGTCTTGAACCAACATTGGTGAAACCCTGTCTCTACTAAAAATACAAAGAATTAACTGGGTGTGGTGTCATGCACCTGTAATCTCAGCTACTCGGTAGGAGAATTGCTTAAACCTGGGAGGCAGAGGCTGCAGTGAGCCAAGATTGTGCCACTGCACTCAAGCCTGAGCAATAAGAGCAAAACTGTCTCAATAAATAAATAAATAAATAAATACTCTGCTCCTGTCACATCCTTCATCTAACATTCTATGGGTCCAAGAAGGTCACATGAACAAGTGCCCCATCAATGGAGCAGGGAATAAACTCTACTGACAGTGAGAGGTCCTGCAAAATTTCATGTCAAAGGCCAGGATGTATAATCCAGTTGGGGAACATGAATAGTCTAAGCTACTGCTTTTACCTCGAGTACTTGAACTCTCTAAGCCTCAGTTTTCTCATCCATGAAACATAAAAGCTACACTTCTCAGGGCAAGAAATAATTTACATAAATTTCGGAGTGCATAGTTAGTAGTCAATGAATGGAAGCTATTATTGTCAGCCCCATTTCAGAGATGAGAAAACTAAGGCCTTTAGGTAATAATGTAGGTTGCTAGAGAAAAACCAAACAGGCTTTTGGAGCTAGGCTGATGGGATCTGAGCAATGGAGTCTGTGACTTTGGCAGTGAAGAACCAATAAGCTAAAGAAAATATGCCCTTTAGAATCCCTTATTGTCCTCCCCCGAAGGAATTCTTCTGCAATGACGGAGACCTTTCTTAACAGTCTAAATTGTGGGGATGCCCACTACCACAGTCCTGGCAATGTTGTCTGTCTTCCTGACTACTGAACTCTGATAGCCCCGTGCTCTTCATTTCTGAAGCCCCCGATGGCAACTCAGAAGGCTAGGCACCTAGCTGACGGATTTCTGAGTAAATGCTTGTGTATTGACACTTCCTGTCTCCCACTCTAGATTTTCTCCATGATATTCTGAGAGACAGAATGGGACCAGGAGCCAGGCATGGTGGTGCATGCCTATAGTTCCAGCAACTCAGGAGGCTGAGGTGGGAGGATCACTTGAGCCCGGGAGTTTGAGGCTGCAGTGAGCTATGATCTCACCACCGCACACTAGCCTGGGCAACAACAGAGTGAGACTCTGTCTTTAAAAAATAAAAATGAAAAAAATGGGACCAGGGAAAGGACTTTTGGGGCTCTAGCCCTCTTACAATGGGATCCTGACTAAACCAGACATCACCCCATGCAGGGCCTTGGTGTCCCAAATGTAGAACAGGTGGGTGAGGGTGTCTAATGTCTTCCAGTCCAGACTGAGTCTACCATTTTCCCTCCCTCCCTCCCTCCCTCCCTTCCCTGCTTGCTTGCTTCCTTCCTTCCTTCCTTCCTTCCTTCCTTCCTTCCTTCCTTCCTTCCTTCCTTCCTTCTCTCCCTTTATCTCCTCTCTCGCTATCTCCTCTCTCTATCTCTCTCTCAGTCTCACTCTGTTGTCCAGGCTGGAGTGCAGTGTCACGATCTTGGCTCACTGTAACCTCTGCCTCCCAGTTCAAGCAATTCTCCTGCTTCAGCCTCCCCCTAGTAGCTGGAATTACAGGCATGCACCACCACGCCTGGCTAACTTTTGTATTTTTAATAGAGATGGGGTTTTACCATGTTGGCCAGGCTGGTCTCAAACTCCTGACCTCAGGTGATTCACCCACCTTGGCCTCCCAGTGTGCTGTGATTACAGGTGTGAGCCACCAAGCCCGGCCAGAGTCTGCCTTTTTCTCCAGCAGTCTACCTGATCCTCTTCTCATTCACTGTTATTCCTTAAGCCAGAGGCTGCTGGCCTTCCACCAAAATCTGTTCTCTTCTTCCTTAGCAATAGGCTACACAACCAGAGACTACATTTCCCAGCCTCCTTTGCAGCAGGGTGTGGCCCTCCATTCTTACAGGTGGACTGTGAGCAGAAGCGATATGTCGTTCCTTCCAGTCTAGGTATTAACCTATTGGGCATGTGTTCCTCCTTCCTCTCCTGTCCTAACACATAAACCCAGGCTTCTCATGACCAAGTTTTGACTATGCAGTTGAAGACAATGCACCGGAAGGCCAAGTAACAGATGGAAAGAATGAAGGCAGTGAATGGAGACACTGGCCAGTCTGCACCACTGAGCTTGTCAATGGGAGATAACTGAATTCCCCCCACCCCTTTTAAAGATTTTAGTGATGGGGTCTCACTTTGTTGCCCAGTCTGGATTTGAACTCCTGGGCTCAAGCGATCCTCCTGCCTCAATCTCCCCAAGATAACTGAACTTTTGTGCTCTCTCTCTCTCTCTCTCTTTTGAGACAGAGTTCCACTCTTGTTGCCCAGGCTGGAGTGCAATGGCGCGATCTCGGCTCACCACAACCTCTGCCTTCCAAGTTCAAGAAATTCTCCTGCCTCAGCCTTCTGGGATTACAGGTGTGCACTACCGTGCCTGGCTAACTTTTGTATTTTTAATAGAGATGGGGTTTTACCACGTTGGCCAGGCTGGTCTCGAACTCCTGACCTCAGGTGATCCATTCTCCTTGGTCTCCCAAAGTGCTGGGATTACAGCCGTGAGCCACTATTTCAGGCCAAGATATAGTATCTAGCTTTCTACTGGGCCCTGGTAGAGAATGCACACCTGACCGTGAGACACCAGGTGACTATACAACCTGCTCTCCCCATCATGAACTGGGTATCATCTGATCCATCAAGCCATAAAGCTAAGCATATACAGCAACATTCTATCATCAAGTGAAAGTGATACAGCTCAATGACATCTATTCCACCACATTGCTGCCTCTTCCTTAGTCAACACCAGAGGGCTCATGGCAAATTCCCTATGATCAGTTGATGGAGGAAGAAAAAAACTCAGGCCTGGCGCCACCTGGAAGTGGATGGTTGCAGCACTACAGGAGTGCCCTGAAAGACATTGCAGAAGGCAAATCCTCACAGTGAACAGAATTGCAAGCAGTATGTCTGCTTGTCTGCCTCACCAAGATAGAGACAGAAGTCCAGGAATACAAATCTGTTCATATGCATGGGACAGATGTTTGGCTGGATGCTCATGAACATGGAAAGAAGATTAGAAGACTGGTAACAAGAAGCTCTGTGGGAGAAGGAATGTGGATGGACCCCTAACAATGGACACAGAATGGGAGGATATTCGTGTCCTATGCACATTCCCCCAAAAATTACCCACTGTGGAGGAAACCATTGCTCAATAAACCAATAGACAAGATGCCTTGTTCTGTAGCTTGTCTGTCGTTCTTTCCCCAGCCACTCTAGTGCTTGCTCAATAAGCTTATGTACAAAAGGGCCACATTAGTTGAGCTAGAGGTTATAGATGGATGTAACAACAGGGATTTCCTCTGATTTAGCGAATCAAGGCTGCTTTAGTGAATACCACTGCTGAGTGCCCAGTGGGCGCAGTTCCTAATATGACACAATTCGCCATAGGAACTGGCTATCCATGGCAGATGGATCCCACTGAACCCCTTCCATCACAGAGAAGAGGAAGAAATTATAGCTCCTAAGGGAGGAGTACATCTATTGGGGAACAATTCAGTGGTTCAGGGCAGTTAGAAGTTGAAACTGCTCCTTGGCCATTTTGAGCTCCTCGTACCCTTGAAACTGCAGGCAAAGTAGTGTATTCCTCTACATGCTGGGACGACTGAGCTGATTACAAGGCGTAAAGTGGGTTGCTCCTGCACGGTGATAGGATGGAAGAATAGGAGGTTGTCTGCGGTGCCCCCTCATACTTCCACATCCAATAGTAACGGAAGACCGTAGCAATCCAAGGACCACCAGAGTCTGAGTCATGTCACCAGGTGAAACACCCAAACTAACCGAGGTGCTGGCTGAGGGCAAAGAGAACCTAGAATAGCTAGTGAAAAAAGAGAAATTATAAATATCAACAGTGGCCTTGGAGTCAATTACAGGAATGAGACCTATAGCAGCTATGAGTATTTTCTTCTTTGCTTGGGGGGTGTATGTGTGTGTAATTGTATATAAGGAATGCCAGTGATGGTCAAATTGATGTTTTCACCGGTATATTTTAGTAGATTGAGATATGGGTGTGATCTCTGGAGCTAGAGGAGGAATGAGAAGAGAATCCAGTGTGATCTAGAGTGATGTTACTGGCCGATGGGGCTTTGTATGAGTCTCATTTTTGGAGAAAGGCTTAGCATGTTCTCATTCCAGAAAGGCAGTAGATCCTGTGAGGTTTGAGTATGATGTTCTTGAGTGGAAGTTGAATGTAGCATGGGCAGGGTCTGTGTGAATGTTTGATTAGCCGAGGAAATGGATGGCACCCGACAGTGTTCATGGTGTCTAAGTTTCACTTTTGCCCTCTCTTGACCCTAGATGACTAAGCTTTCTTTTTATCTTGATGAAAAAAGATGTGCAAATTCTTATTCCTTTTTTTGCAAAGTTAAATAAAACTATCCCCTATATTCTGTACATTATACTCCTGATTTGATGTTCTTTGGGCATTTTAAACACATTTTTCTCTCTGGGAAATTGGGGTGGGGGGTATGTGCCCTGAATACCCCCGAAGTCCATATATAGGTTTATTTTATTTTCTAGAGATGAGGTCTCGCTATATTGCCCAAGCTTGTCTTGAACTCCTGGCCTGGAGCAATTCTCTCACCTTGGCCTCCCAAAGCACTGGGACTATAGATGTGAGTCACTACACCTGGCCCTTGCACAGGTTAATAAGAGCTAATGGTTGTAGGCATGCCCTGTAACCTGTGAAGTGCTGTCCTGAATGAGCTGGGTTAATGTCAAGGTCAGAGCTCTGGAAAGTCAATGTGGAAGCCAGCCCCAGACCCAGCAACTTGAGACCGGGAGTCAACTCTTGCTGGCTCTTGTGAAGAACTGAGCCTGAGACCTCACATCTCTACCCTGCCGGCTCCAGCCCTTGGCAGTGAGAACTGGATGGACAACACAGGTTTAGAAATGAAAAGCAACTGCTCCTCCTGGATGCTTTATTGGGGCTTTCGGTGGTTTCTATGCATGAGCAGCAGTGACACCAAGACTCTTTCCCAACATGCAAAAGGCACAGGAAAATGAGACTGGACCAGGGTGGGTGGCGTGGATGCAGAGACTGCAGCTCTGGGAGTGACGGGAAGGGTGGGTATTGAAGGAGATGGCTTGGGCAGAGGCTGGGAGGGGGACCTAGGTTTGTCCCCTCCAGATCCGCCCCTGCGCTTGGGCTGGACTGACCTTCTGAGAGAAGGTCAACATGGCTTTTACTGAAAGTCTCACCTCACAAGGTGGAAAAACTCAAGTAGGAAGAGAATGATGGCTGCTGCTTTCAGAGGTTTCTATTAAAGCCAAACCCAACACACGGGCCAACTCAGACGGGCAACGAGAGGGTGTGCTCATGGTGTCCATCCCCACCGTGGCCTGGTTTTCGGGTGCCACTGCCTTGGCTCAAGCCAGTGCTGTCTCAGTCCATGTCCAGGAGAAGCATGAAGCCCCTTCTGATCTTCAGGGACCTCCCATGGGGTCTCCGGTTCTCCAGCCCCATTCAGAGGTACCGGTTAGAGGAGTTGAGTCTTGATGTTGGCTTTGTCCTGTGGAAGAGTTCCCTGGGCAAGAGGGAAGGGGAGGCGAGGGGTCAGGCCGTCTGAGCCCCCAGCACCTCCCAGAATCTGGGCCCTGGTGGATGAAACCTCCTGGGACTCACCTCAGTTCCTAACCAGTCCCCACAATTCCGTCTTGAGACCTTGAATCAAAAGAAAAGGCATTCGTGTTTTGTTTCTGGTTTTTGTTCTGTTTCCCACTTCCTCTCTCTTTTAGTAGAGCCGTGGCCTTGAGTCACAGTATCGGCAATGTCTACTTCTAAACTATGGAATGTTTTCACACTGACGATATTATTACTCAGAACGAAGGGCGGGGAGGGCTGTCCAAGTGTTCATGAGACAGCGAGTTACTGAGAGCTCATGGGGAATCACACAGCACAGAGACACCGACAGTCAGACACCAAGCCCCAGGCCTGGCCCTAGATGTATTTTTTCTTGAGGTACCAGTAAGCAAAGTAGCCCATCCCGCCCAGGGAGCCCATGAGGAAGGATGCCCCGAAGAAGGATGGGGGTTTCCTCTTGACCAGCCGGAAAGCATTGGGGATGACGGCCGATAGCAGGGTGGTGTGGATGTCACCCAGGACTTTCCGGAAGGCAAAGCGTCTCTGGACCCTCTCAAAGAAGGACTGCAGGTTGGGCCGGCTGCCATCTTCCCAGTATTTCTTGGACAGTCCCAGGAACTTGAGGCGGTGCAGGGTGGCTCCCAGGAGGACATCAGCAAGGGTGAAGGCACAGCCACAGAGCCACAGCTCGCATTTCTGCCCTAGAGTGGAAGAGAGAGGCGGCAAGGGGATCAGCCTCCCCTAATACACATGCCTACTTCTCTCCATGAGCTCCTCTGGCTTTTGCATGCCTGCCCAAGTATTTCCCAAGGGTTACTTATTCCTGTCCAACTTCAGTGATTTTTGCCGTATACTCATACTACTTCTATTATTTTTTTTTCTTTAAATTGACTGACATTTTTTTTCCTTTTTTTTTTTTTTTTTCTTATTCTCATTTTACAGCTGATACATCAGCTGACTTTTAAAGTGCAAATATGTGGCCGGCGTGGTGGCTCACACCTGTAATCCCAGCACTTTGGGAGACTGAGGAGAGTGGATCTTTTGAGGTCAGGAGTTCAAGACCAGCCTGGCTACCATGGTGAAACCCCATCTCTACTAAAAATATAAAAATTAGCTGGGCATGGTGGTGCACACCTGTAATCCCAGCTACTCAGGAGGCTGAGGCAGGAGAATTGCTTGAACCTGGGAGACGGAGGTTGCAGTGAGCCGAGACTGTGCCACTGCACTCCACCCTGGAGAACAGAGTGAGATTCCATCCCAAATAAATAAATACATAAATAAAGTGCAAATATGTGTCTTAAAACTCTGGACACATATACAACTACCCCTTTGACAGTTCCACTTGGTGTCCACTCTACATTTCAAATTCAAAATGGAATTCCTGATTGTCACCCTCAGAGCCACCCTGCTCATCCCCATCTCAGTAATGGAACCTCCACCCTTGCAGTTGCTCTGCCCAAAAGCCTTGGTGCCACCATGCATTCTTTTGTCTTTTTTTTGAGATGGAGTCTTGCTCTGTCACCCAGGCTGGAGTGCAGTGGCACAATCTCAGCTCACTGCAACTTCTACCTCCTGGGTTCAAGTGATTCTCCTGCTTTAGCCACCCTAGTAGCTAGGATTACAGGCATCCATCACCATGTCCAGCTAATTTTTGTATTTTTGATAGAGATGAGGTTTCACCATGTTGGCCAGGCTGGTCTTGAACTCCTGACCTCAGGTGATCCGCCCACCTCAGCCTCCCAAAGTGCTGGGATTACAGGTGAGATCTACTGCATCAGGCCCCACCATGAATTCTCTTTCATCCCCACATACAATTTGTCAGCAATTTCCATCAGTGTTATCTTCAAATACATCCAGAATCTGATACCGCCTCTACCTTTACTGTCCTTGTCCAAACAACCATTATCTTCTAAGTTACCACAATGTCTTTTAAAAAGGTCTCCCTGTTTCTGCCCTTGTCCCCTGGAGTCTATTCTTAGCACAGCAGCCAAAGTGGGCATCTTAAAATTTAAGTGCCGGATAATGTCACTTCTCCCTTCTCAAAACCCTCTGATGATGCACCGTTGTGGCCAGAGGAAAAGCAGAAGCCCTTCCATGCCCTGTAAGGTCTTCTGTGATCTGGCCCCCAGGTCCCTTTCAGACTTCAGATGCTGCTTCTCTCCCCCTTCCTCACTCTTCTCCAGCCACATTGGCCTCCTGAAGCTCCTTCCATCAGGCACATTCCTAGCACAGGGCCTTTGCCCTTGCTGTTCCCTCTGCCTGGAACAGTCTTCTGTATAGTCACGGAGCTCATTCCTCTGCCTCCTTCACATCTTTGCTCATTTGCCATCTTCTCCTGGGCTTCCCAGACCACCGATTTAAAATGAAATTTTTGGTCAAGTGCTGTTGCTCACATCTGTAATTCCAGCACTTTGGGAGGCCTAAGTGATTCCACTAAAAATACAAAAATTAGCCGGGTGTGGTGGCAGACACTTATAATCCCAGCTTCTTGGGAAGCTGAGGCAGGAGAATAGCTTGAACTTGGAAGGTAGAGGTTGCAGTGAGCCGAGACTGAGCCATTGCACTCCAGCCTGGGCAACAAGAATGAAACTCCATCCCAAAATAAATACATAAATAAAAATAAAAGAATAAAATGGAAGGTTGTTTGTTTGTTTGTTTTTGAGACAGAGTCTCATTCTGTCTGGGACTACAGGCATGTGCCACCATGCTCTGATAATTTTTCTTGTATTTGTAGTGGAAACGGGGTTTCACCATATTGGCCAGGCTGGTCATGAACTTCTGACCTTGTGATCTGCTGGCCTCGGGGTCCCAAAGTGCTGGGATTACAGGTGTGAGCCACCGTGCCTGGCTAAAATGGAAGTTTTAAATGGCAACGGTAAATTGGTAGCCTGTGGAGCCCAGGAGAAGATGGCATGTGAGTGAAGACACGAAGGAGACGGAGGAAGACCTTACCCTGGCAGTCACTTTCCCTCCCCTGCTTTGCTTTCCTCCATAGAACAGAGCGCCACATTGCGTCATCTACTTGATATACTCATTTTGTTTATGGTTTGTTGTCCTCTTCAAGAGTGGAAACTCCATGAGGGCAGGGATTTTGGTCTGTCTTGTTTATGGCTATACCCTCTGCATCTAGAACTGTGCCTGGCATACAATAGGTGCTCAGTAAATCCTTACTGAGTGATTGATGAATGAAAAACTAAACTGTATCATTAACAGTAGCATTAAACGATTTGCTACAAACTACCTACAATTGTAAAAGTAAACATAACAAAAACAAAACAAATGCGATTAAATTCCAGCTGGATACTACTGCCCATCAAAGTCTCTGTGTCCAAGACTGGTTTATTTCTTTTCTTTCTTTCTTCCTTCCTTCCTTCCTTCCCTCCCTCCCTCCCTCCCTCCCTTCCTCCTTCTCTCTCTCTTTCTTTCTCTCTTTCTTTCTGGACAGAGTCTTGTTCTGTCACCCTGGAGTGCAGTGGCGCAGTCTCGGCTCACTGCAGCTTCCACCTCCAGGGTTCAAATGATTCTCCTGCCTCAGCCTCCCGAGTAGCTGGGACTGCAGGTGTGCACCACCACGCCTGGCTAATTTGTTTTTGGTATTTTTACTAGAGATGGGGTTTTGCCACATTGGCTGCTCTCAAACTCCTGACCTTAGGCGAGCCGCCTGCCTCAGCCTCCCAAAGTGCTGGGATTACAGGCATGAACCACCACACCTGGCCTCATTTTGTTTTTAAGAAAGGGGCAGATATTAAATACATATTGTAAAGGGTTTAAGCACTAACACCTTACTAATACTCTTTGATGTAATCAAAAGAGGATAACTCTCACAATGTGGTTTTATATTACTTGTCACCAGTTTTTGTGTCATCTAAATTTATTTATTGATTTTCATTTTTTATTTTTTTAGCCTCCGCCTCCCACTGTGTCATCTAAATTTAGCCTGACTGTCACATTTGGGATTAAGAAGGAAAAAATTAGCCTGCGTTTTTAGGAAACACTATTGTTTGTGCAATATTTCCTCCCAGTTGTTTTGACCTGAAATTCTGGAGCGCCTTTGCTCTCCTACATTGCCTCAAAAATCTTTAATTCTCCCCACTGACTACACCTCTATGTCCAAGTTTCTGTGCCTAGCTGTCAAGCCCTTTCAAGAGTTAGCTTAGCTCTAATATACGTCTCTAATTTTGGCTTCTTGTGAACTGCCCATTGGTCCACTGTCTTCCCCAACAAGCTGCCCACTTCAGCCTCCGGGTCTTTGTCCCTGCTGTACCCCATGCCCAGAATGCTCTCTCCTCTCCTTTTACTTCCTGTGAGGGCTGCTTTCCTGGGGAGCTTGCCTCTGCACCTTTGAACAGGCTGCTCCTTTCAGTTCAGAAACTCCATGAATACAGTGCTCCCCACCCTCAAAACCTAAGCCTCCTCCTTCTGCTCGGCATCTTCTTGGTCACTGATTCATTCATTCAGCAAGCGGTTACCTGGCAGTACTTACTGGGCATGAAGACGTGACACAACACAGTGTCTCCCCTCAAGAGGCTTACAGTCATGGGGATGTGTAATGAAGGCTCTCATCAGAAGGTTATCCTTGAATAGGTAACCTTCAAGGCACCTGATGAAGCCAGGCACAGTGGCTCACATCTCTCTCCTTTACTTTGGGTGGCGAAGGCAGGAGGATTGCTTGAGCATAGGAGTTTGAGATCAGCCTGGGCAACATGGCGAGACCCCCTTCTCTACAAAAAATTTAAAACATAGCCGAATATGGTAGTGTGTGTGCCGAATATGTGTGCCTGTGGTCCCAGCTATTAGGAAGGCTGAAGCAGGAGAATGGCTTGAACCAGGAAGGTCGAGGTTGCACTGAGCCTTGTTCACACCACGGCACTCCAGCCTGGGTGACAGAGTGAGACCCTGTCTCAAAAATCAAAACCAAACAAACAAACAAGACACCTGATGGGCCCTTGAGGAGAGATAATGAGTTGGGAGTTAGTGATGCAGGTTCCAGGCTCAGGGAAGCATCGTAGTGTGGATGTGATATTTAAAGCCGGGAGAGTACACAGTATCAGTGTAGACAGACTTGGAAATAGGGGAAGGGACTGAACCCTGGGCCTCACTGCAAACTTTAGATATTGACACCAAGACAAACCAGCACAGATAAGAAGGAGCCACCTTTGAGGTAGGAGAAGAACCAGGAGAGTGTGATGTCCAGGAAGCCAACTTAGGACAGGATTCTGAAGAGGAGACAGCGCTCAGCTGTGTTCAAATGCTGCACTGAGGTCAAATAGGAGGCCTGAGAACTGGTTTGACTGGCAAACTGACTGGCGACCCTGGCAAGGTAGCTGGAATAGAATGCTGACTTCAGAGCCAGCTTGAAGGGAGTTCAAAGAGAGAGAGGAGAGGAATTGGAGATGGTGAAAAAAGATCACTCCTCCGAGGAGTTTTGCTAGAATGGGGAGGATGGGCCAATGGGGAGAGACAAGTCAAGAGCATTTTCATAAGCTGGGAGGAATGAAATAGCATGTGTTTAGGGCTGGTGTCGCAGAGAGGGGAATAGATTCTACGGGGAAGGGTGGATAGAATTACGGATGTGGTGTTCTTACAGGGATGAGAGTGGATGGGATCTAGTGCACTAGGGAAGGGACTGGTTTTAAAGGACAAGCCCCTCCATCCTTGGACAAGGACAAGAACAGTGCCTCCTTGGTAACAAGAGGGCAGA